AACCATGTGAGTGGGGGATACCTATCTTTAAATCCAAAAAGAGCAGTTTGCTTGTGCTAGTCCAAAAGTCAAAGCATCAAATCCCAAACATAAAAAAACTCCCATGCTTTTACAAAACAAAACCCATCTTCAAATTATGCACTAATTACTTTTTCCTACTGTGTAAAATTAACATTACCCTCTCTTCTCATCCAAATAGGGTTTCACCTTTTAAAACAGATGCATCTTCTTCTTTTCTTTATTACCTATTTTTTCTTATTCTATCTAACCCTTTTCAATTTGTTCATGTCATACGTGTTTTCATTATATTAAGTCCAAGTATATATTATATTGAGAAATTGTATACTCTATAGCTTGTTCATATAATCTATTTACACTTTTCAAAACTTAAATAACATGACTTTTTCATGTCTCACTCATATGGTAGGGTAGTATTTCTTTTCATGAGTTTAATTTGTATACGCAAAATGCTTTATACTTTAATCAATGCAAAAGTATATGATAGATGTAACTTATTGCATAATTAAATATAACATTTTAAAAATTATTATCTAATGTTTTATGATTAAATATATAAATATCTAAGATTTTTATTTTAATTCAAATGTAAACTATAAGACCTTTCAACTAAACTTTTATTTTTCCTTAATTAGACAATATAAATTAATATATAAGTTATTTTGTTTTATTTTTAAAAAACTCATTTACATAAACAAATAATTTTACTATTGATTCCCAAATCAGAATTTGTTTTTCTACCCATTGTTTTGAAGTGCTTTTATATTTTGGAGTGAATAATAATAATAATAATAATAAAAGTATACAAATGAGGATAGGGAAGTCACAAATGTTATGCATTAATTTGTTTGCCAAGATTTTTATATCCAACTTGAGTTTGTTGTGATTGTAGCCATACTCAATATAGAAAGAAAAATGGTGTCTCATGTTGCTTAAAATTAATAATATAAACACAAGTTAGTGGATGCCACAATGCTTGGAATTGGGTCATCTTATACACTTGTTAAGCAATGCTTACATAGAAAGTAATATAACTAACTCAATGAATTAATACAACCAAATGTTGTGATATATTGGCAAATGCATATTCTAGAAAAGCATAAAATTATTAGGCGCATAAAGGCATTTAGGTTAAGCGATGTAACTTTCATGTAAAACCACTTTAATTTCAGATTGAATTAATGCTAACAACTTCTCCTCTTAATAATTACATCTCTGTAATCTCAAACATACTTTTTTTAATTTTGGATTATTTATCACGAAAATTGGTGCTCATTTATATCTCTAATGACCAACATAAAATATAATATTGTGTTCTACCCAAGAGCTTATCTTCAATTAGGTTCCTACAAAACAATGTACAGAAGAGTTTTCAGAATATGAAATTCTTTGTGTTTTTTTGCTCGTAAATGTTTTGTTCCAATTGCTTTTTATCTTTTTCATCATTTTCCATTTCATTACTTGCTTAGTGGTTGTTGGATTCTTGGTTTTTCAGATGGCCCATTCATGGTTTGAGCCCATTTTCCAGATTTTTGCTTTCTTTTGGAGATCTCTTATTCTTTTAGAAATGGGCTTTACAGAATCTAAAAAGCCCGTCCCTTAATGAATTAAAGGTGTGTAAGAATTTATGGGGGTGTAGAAAGAAAATCCCAATTATGCTCATCATTTGGGCTTGGCTCAATTAAGCTTAAACCAATGCTATTTACACCTTTCTTTTACTCATTACACCTATATTTATATGCTCAAAACACCCGTGTTGTCTTCACTTCATTTTTTTTGGGAGATATGAAATAAATTAGATAGTTTTTACAATATCATAAAATGTATGGGTTATGAAATAGTTGTAGTGAATTAGAATATTATCTTTTTTTGTTTGTTTTTGGGTATACATCCTAAGTTGGGTCTTTGGAATTATAATAATTGCTTGCCGCATGAAGCCGGCCATAGTGAAGAACATAGATTTCAAACCAAAGTCTTTGTGAGTTTCAAATGTTTGGCAGAGTCCTATGAAAGACAATTCCAAATTATGGAACTATGTATTATTGCTGGCATTGTTCTCTGGTCTAAAATTCATCCAAACGATCAAGGGCAATTGTGAGAAGATTGAAAAAAAAAATGCTGTTTTGTAGATAAAAACAAAAGCCATTGGAGCTAACGAGGAAAGACAGAGAAATTAACCAAAGTCTTGGTTATTATTTTGCATATAAAAGGAGTTTATTTAGTGCAGAAGATTGTAAAAATAGTGTTGGGAAAGAGCTTATTTGAAGCAAGCATGGTGTCCAAAGCTGTGGCCAACTCGATGCTTTTTCTTCGGATTGTTGCTCTTGCAGCCTCAGTTGTGACTGTGGTATTGCTATTTACTAACAAGGTCAAATTTGATGATGGATCAAAGCTTAGATTTCAAGATTTCAATTCATACCGGTAAGAAACCACCAAAGCTAGTGTTCATGTCTACTATCATTCATTCATGATCAATATATACACTGTAACAATTGTTATAAACTTTAAACATTCAGATATCATTTTTCTTCCATTGACTATCATTGTCAGAATTAAATTTTGAAGGGTGTTTAGCTCAATTACTAGTATAAAACACCTGGTTCACTCAGGACAAGTATTTAAACTAAGATGACATATTAAGGATTCTAAATTTTGGTGTGGTTATAATACTAAACTAAAGTTACTTTATATGATGTCATTCATAATCAATGCCTGATAAGGTAACTTTCAATTGAATGTTTTGCATGCAGAATTACACTATAAAAAAGCTTAAAAAATAAACTCTAATTGATTTGTACTGCATAGTATATGTCACATACATTGGTGCCATGTTTATGTGAAAATTGCAGGTATGAAGCTGTGGTTGCAATAATTGGTGGTGCATATTGTATTCTGCAGCTACCATTTGCCATATATTATGCAGTACAGCAGAAGAGGTTGATACGCAATGGATTCTTGCCCGAATTTGACTTCTTTGGAGACAAGGTCCTACCATTTTCTTATTTTTCAATAGCCTCAACAGTTTGAGTAAAATGATAACATGTAAATATCCAAATTGAATGAAACTAAGGTGTATGAAAATGCAGGTAATTTGTGTGCTTCTGGCCACAGGAGTTGGTGTTGGGTTTGGAGTGTCTATGGAATTTAAGAAGTTGTTTGATGACATATTTGACTCTGTGGGTACCTCAAAGAGTGACCCTACAAGGAAGACATATGACAAGTTTTTTGTTAGAGGAATTGTGGCTTCTGCTATTCTCCTTGTTGCAGCCCTTTCTATGATCATTGTTTCTCTCATTTCCTCCATCAATCGAAACCGAAGCAAAGGAATTTTTAGTTAAGTCATTTTGTTTTCCATCATCACTTGAAGTAACTCATCACCTTCTGAATAAGGGTAGTTCATGTCTTTCTGTCTTCACCATGCTCAAAAATATAAAGTATTTGTACATCATTTAACATACTTATTCAATAATCATTTGTAAAAGTGGATTTCATTTATTATATTATTGATGGTGGAGATGTGTTAGTTGTTTGTGTATTATTTCAATTCGAGTGTTTTAGTCTACTGCATAATTTTTTTACTTTTAATTCTGGCAAAAATATATTTCTCTAAAATTTGTGTATTACAAAATTACTAACTCGAGTAATTTTAGATTTGAACTTCCTGCATGAAAAAAAAATTTACTAAATTTTATCAGTTTAATTCTCCAAGAGAAATATTAATTATGAAAAACTGAATATTTTATATTATTTTTTATGTAAACAAAAAATTACTAGTTACTGATTTTCTTTTGAGACTAACGTTTTATTTTCAACTTGAAATTGAAGACAGTTAAATTAAAATCTCAATTCAACGTTCTATTCGTCTAAACCAAACTTGACAGCAAAATCAACTTTCTAATTTTACAAGAAGTTAAACTTATACATTAAGAATTTTATGTGAATCAAATTTCAATAAAGATTTAAGACTAAAAGAAACATCAATGCATGAAATTGAAAAGAAAATATTGAATTTTTAATTACAAATAAAAATAGTTAAAAGCAAATAAAATATCTTTTAGAATATTAAGATTAATATTCTTAAAAAGAACATATAAATTTATACAAATTTAATTTTATTACCTAAACTAATTAACTTCTTAAAATATGTTAATCGAGTCTTATGCAGAAACTGAACGAATATATTTAACGCTAAGGAAACATGTGATAAAGTTTTCTGAAAATCTAAAATTATAAATATTTATTTTATTTTAAGAAAATAAATATTTCCTTTTCCCAAAATTACACGTAGTAAATGTATTATTACATAATTTAAAATAATTAAAGACACAAATACTTCCAAAATCCATTGGCATCTCAATAGATTTAACTAAACGTTGCCTCTGTTAATAGAAAATTGCACTTAATTTGTTTGTTACTGAAAGTGTGTAAACCTAAGCCATTGTCAAATTCAACATCATTAGCAGAATCCTATAATAGATTAAACAGACCAATCCAATTTAAGGGCATTTTGGACCAGCACAGCTCTCAAACATATACATAGGACTTATATTATGGGAAGTATCGAAACCTAAATTTCGGATCCAACAAACAAATGGAATATTTCCACAATTTCCTTAAATCTTAATTTTTCCAAGAAGAATACATTCTCACATGCTTCCAATTTCCTTGGAATCTTCTGAGAAAAGACATGTCTATATATTTGTTTAGACGAGAGACTATAATCCAGATGGAAATTCGCAAAAGGGTGATTGATTGTGTTGCCGGTTGTCATAGAAGTGTGGAAGATCCAAACATAAAAGACAAGGTTTTGCAGAATAAAATAAATGGCTCAGTATTGGGGTTAACGAGAGAGAATAGGGAGAGAAACAGAAGAGTCTTTGATTGATTTGTGTATAAAAGGGTGATGGAAGAATGTAAGAAAGACGAGAGAAGGTGTAGGTGGGAAAATTAAAGAGGTGGATATTTGTTTGATTGAAGTAAAAATGGTGACGAAACGTGTGGCTAACTCGATGCTTGTGCTGAGGATGGTTGCTCTTGCTACTTCGTCTGCAACTTTGGCCTTGCTGGTTACTAACTCCTACACATTTGAAAATGGTGCAGTGGTCAAATATCAAGATTTCGATACATACAGGTATAATTTGCTCTTAAAAAACTTCAATTTTTATGTTTGGCAAATTGGAAATAATTTAGTGAAAATGACCAAAGCTTCTGATGTGTAAAATGTGCAGCTTTGTGGTGGCTGTTGCTGCAATTACGTGTGCATATTGCATAGTGCAGCTTCCATTTTCCATATACTATGCGATACGACAGAAGAGGTTGATAAACAATCAAATATAAAAATGTAAATCTCTTATGTGAGTTAAGGTATGATCAGTAGTTTCTCTCAGCAATGAATCCCCATTAAAATCCGAATGAAAGACCAGTAGGATATGAATATTGAACTAAGTTACATGCCCTAAGTGAAAGTCCATTAAATATAGAAAGATTGAAAGAATTTGAAATTGATATGGATGTGAATTGTAGGTGACCAGTCTTGTTCTGGGAACAGGCATTGGTGCTGGTTTTGCAATGTCTGTGGAATTAAAAAAGTTCATCGACAAGCGTGTACACGATGTGGATGGTTACAAGTCCGTATACAGCAAGGTTTTCATTCGAGGCTTCGTTGCTTCTGCTTTTCTTCTCGTCTCCTTCCTCTCCATGGCCATCGTTTCTTTCATTTCCTCCAATAATCGAAACACAAAGCAACCCACCTTCTATTAAACCCTACCTTCTTGCTTCATCAACTTTCTCTCTTCACACCTTTTTTTATTTCTTTTCCGCAATACACAAAACATTATTTGTGTCTTCAATTGTATATTATCGCATGCATATGAATAAATTCTACAAGGCATCGTAAATTTTCGCAACAACACTTATTTGTTTAGCAATTTGGTTTAATACAATACATAATTTTGTTTTTTGTTTTTAAAAATTAATAAACTTGTTATATATATATATATATATATATATATAAATTAAAAATAAATAAAATATATTTTCTGTTTTTATTGACAATTATTGTGTATGAATTAGTTTTTACTTGAAAATATCATATTCGTATTTAATTTTTGTTGTGACATTTTATTAATCATGATTATCATTTTTTTGTTTAAAATATTTTTTAAATAAAATTATCAAACTTTCTTTCTCCAATATTTTTTAAAATTTTTTAAAAATTATTAAAATTGTTTTTAAAAGCTAATAAAAGAGTTAAGATTTTTTTTTCTAGTTTCTACGTTATCATATTACTAACATTTTCAAACGAATTATATTTTTTGTTATCGATTTATTCACCAAATATAATCTATAAAATAAGTGTAACAATTTTTTTTATAAGATGGGAGAAGTAAGAAGAGTTTAAAACAGATAAATAGTTTTTCATAATTTTAAAAAATTACACTGAATGTTTTGCATATTCTAAAACTTCGTGATGATACTAATAAAAGTAATAATAATATATCGGGGTCTAATAAAATATATAATCCAACTAAAAAAAATAAAATTAAGTAAAAAAGTTAATGAAACCGCGCTAACCATCTTCCCCCTCTCGTTAAATTGTTTCGCACAAATCTAAAATTAATTTGTAAAAACAGATTATAAAATCTGACACATGAAAATATAATTATAATATTGAGAATAGATAAAATTTAAACTCTGAAAAATTATGTTAGTATGAGATTATTGTTATAAAAAGTTAACAAAAAAAAACTTATTATATATGGGTACAGGTACAAAACTAAAAAAAATAAAATAAAAAATAATTTTAAATTAAATAATTTTAAAAAATAAATATACTTTTTCATTTTTTTCATCAATTTTATATAAATCATTTTGTAATTTCCATATGTTCTCAATTTAATATAGAAAATTATTTTACATAATCTTTTATATTTATGATTTTCAAATAATAACATAAATCATGATAAGAAGATTACTTTTGATTCAAGAGAGATATTCGATGAGAATGCATTTTTCAATGTCTTTATTTTTTAATCTTTTTTTTTCGATTTATCTCTTTACCTACCTTTTTTCCTATCACACTTTTCTCGATAACTTATTGTGAGAAGAACTTTCCGGCCGAGAGATAGAACACTAATCATTTTTATTAACCAACGTCCATCAAATTTTTATTTTAGTTTTATTCCTATTTTATTATGACTTCTCATAATAACAAATAAGTCATTGTATATTTATTAAATCATATTTGGGTCCATCATTATATTTCACATGAACCATCGGTGACCGATCTTGATCTTGATCATTGATCTTGAGGGGGCCACATAATATATTATTAATAAATAATAAATAAATATAAAAGAAAGAAAGAAGATGAAATGGTGAAAAGATAAAATTGTAGATATATACTTAAATATATTAAATGATCATTAAGTTTGAGGGGGACAAAATTATAAATTATATGAGAGTTACAAAATTGAGGAGAGACTGAGAGGATAAAATTGTAAATAAACAAGTAAATATATTAAATGTTCATTAAGTTTGGGGGGTCAAAATCATAAATTACATGGGAGTTATAAAACTTTGGGGGGGCACGATCCCATTCATCTCCCAAAAAGACTTGTGAGCCATAATGCGCATTAAAAGACCTTATATAAATTGATTTTATCATTATTCATAATTAAAGATAAAATTATAATAAGAGTCATGACGTTTACATGTCATTCAATCCCTTCCATGTACCTTTTATGTAGTATTATATTATCTCTTTCTTCTTAATAGGACTTTATAATGAAAAATTCATAATGGGTTATATAATATCATTTTCAATAATAATAATAATATAATTTGTTTTCTTCATCATAATTTGCATGCATATAAATAAAGAAGAAGATATAAATTCTAGAAACTTATACATTAAAGATCTTAGAGTGTCATATAAACATTAATAATAATATTAACATTCAACATTCACTAGTAAACATCGTGTCCATATTCACTACATGGTTACCAAACAACTTGGGCGGTAATCCTTTTGTTAAAAGATCAGCAATCGTAAGATTAATGTTAATATGTTCTATTGACACTCTTCATTTATGAATTTCTTCTTTAACAACAAACAACAAAGTATTTTAATTCCATATGTTTAACACATTTGAAATACTTGTCATTTTTAGAAAAGAAGACTGCTACAACAAAATTATTACAATAAATTTTTAGCGGCTTGGTAATGCTGTTGACTACTCCAAGTCCTAAAATAAAATTTCACAACCGATTAGCTTCAACTGTAGCCTCAAAGCATGCCACAAATTCAGCTTCCATGGTGGGTGCAACAATGACGGATTGCTTCACACTTTTTCATGAGATCACTCCTCTGGCTAAAAGATACACAATCAAATGTAGACTTTCGTATATGCATACAACCAACAAAATCTGAATTTGTATATCCAATCACTTCAAGGTAATCAGATTTCCTATAAGTAAGCCATGTGATTTCTTGTTCCTTATAAGTATCTTAAAACTTTTTTTGCAGCTTTCCAATGATCCAGTTTAGGATTACTCTAGTATCTACCTAACATACCAACTGTAGAGCTAATATATGGTCTCGTACATGTTTGGACATATATCAAACTCCCAACAACAGATGCATATGAGTTTCCATCTATTACCATTTCAAATCATTCTTTGGACATTGCATAAAACTAAATTTGTCTCCTTTCTGTATTGGAACGAGAGATGTTAAACATTTATCCATTTTGAATCTTTTTAAAACTTTATTAATATTTGTTTTCTGAGACAAACCTAATTATCCTTGTGATCTATCATAAAATATTTCTATTCCTATCACATAATATGTCTCACCTATATATTTCATTTCAAAGTTGTTAGAGAGAATATTTTTAGTCTCACTTAATAGATTAAGATTATTAGTCGCAAACAAGATATCATCAACATATAGAATCAAAAATATAAAATTGCTCCTATTGATCTTCAGATATATACACCAATCAATAGTATTTTCCTTAAACACCTATTTATACCCAACACTCTTGCATCCTTTTAGCAATTTCATAAGATCCCATACACCATTATGTGCCATTGATTTAAGCTCATTTTTCATAGCATCTAATAATTTATCAGAATTATCACCATGAATGACTTCTGAAAATGAAAATGAGTCATTATTAATACTGAAGTCATTTTCTGACTCTTATAGATAAGCCACATAATCATTCGAAATAACAAACTTTCTTTCTTTATGAGATCTTTTTAATATTATTTCTTATGATTATTCTATTATCGACTCATTGTTAATCTTGTAATTATTAATTTGTTGTTTTTCTTTATTATCGTGTGGTTTTACAATATATGGAACAACAACTCTTGAAGAAGATGTATTAGTTATAGTAAGCTTCATTAACCCTTATACTCTAACTTCCTTAATCTCCACATTTTGTGAAGCTTCACTCCCACTGATTTCATCATTTTCAATGAATCGAATATTTTTAGTTTTAACAATTTTTGTATTATGGGTCGGATAACAAAACATATACCCTTTTGATTTTTCTGGATAACCAATGAAATATCCATCCATTTTTTGTTCTTGCATCCAATTTCTTTTCTTACGGATTGTAAATTCTTATTTCTACCTGACAACCCCAAACATGTATGTGTCTCAAACTAAGTTTTCTACTTGTTCATAACTCAAAAGGAGTCTTTTGAACAACTTTACTAGGAACCTTGCTCAATAAATACATGATAGTCTTTAAAACATACATTCACAACGATACAGGTAAACATGAATTACTTAACATGTTCCTAACCATATCCATTAAGGTTTGATTACGCCTTCTAGAAATATCATTTTTTTGCGGTGTGCTTGACATTGTGTATTGAACACAAATATCACGTTTCACAAGGAACTTAGCTAACGGACCAGGGTGTTATCCACTTTCATCATATCTTTCATAATACTCACCACCTCTATCTGACGTGACAATTTTCACCTTTCTATCTAATTGTCTCTTTACTTCATTTATATAAACTTCAAAGTCATTCACTACTTGAGATTTCTCATGTAGTAAATAAACATATTTATAACACGAGAAATCGTCAATGAAGGTGATAAAATACTTCTTTTTATTAAAAGAATTTACATCAAATTGATCACATATATTAGTGTGTATGATTTCAAGAAGTTAAGTGTGTTTGTCTTTAATACAATCCACATATATTCAGATCAGTAAAACTTAAAACAATCTGGAAAGATTTCATTTTTTACTAATCTTTGCATTCTTTCTTACAAGTAAGCAGATCGTTCATCTACTAAACTACGTTTAGTACCAATATTGTGATGCAAGGTTATGAGTTTCAACATATAAATTAGCCAAATTCAATTTATATAAACCATCATAAAGTGTACCAGATCCAACCATACAAATACGCTTAAACAAATTGAAACAACCATTCCTAAACTTAAAAGAATTTACATCAAATGGATCACATATATTAGTGTGTATGATTTCAAGAAGTTGAGTGTGTTTGCCTTTAATACAATCCACATATATTCAGATAAGTAAAACTTAAAACAATCTGGAAGGATTTCATTCTTTACTAATATTTGCATTCTTTCTTACAAGTAAGCAGGTGTACTAGATCCAATCATACAAATACACTTAAACAAATTGAAACAACCATTCCCAAAATTAAAAGAATATCCTACACCCCTTTATATTTTTATTATTTATTTCTCTCCATTATATTTT